TATCAATAGCGTCTGCAAAGTCATATGTCTTCCACGTACCAGCACTTGTTTTTCAGTAAGTTAAAAAAAAAAGAAACATAATTACTGCATATATTTTGGATTAGAAAAAGGCAAATGCCACTTATAATGTACAGCGTATCCTCAGTCTTGTTTAAATGATCATTTTTTCTGGAAGTTCTCTTTATTTGTCTTCATCAAAGTGTTACGTAGCTTAACAGGGGCACTAAACGACGGTTTCCTCCGAAGTGCATTGAAAACACTTTTTAGGCTATTCAGAGTACTTTTAGATCTCAAATAAATGTATTCTAAGTGGCGCTAATGAGTCTTTAAAATCACAAGGGCTTCAAAATTATTTCCTGAAAACGTAAGCTGCAATTTAAAGTTACACGAAAGTGGGAACTTTTCTGATTCCTCTCTGCATCGCACTCTCGGTTGCGAAAATTTAGGTTTCCATTTCTTTACGAAAAATAGCTTAACCTGGAGAGTGAAATGGGAAAAATTAAACTTCAGAAAATCGTAGGGAATTTATTAGATAAGCTTCGAAAATTGTACATGAATGGTCATCTAGAAAGTTTTAGCCTTCCTCAAGCTATTGAAAGTTCTGGGCAATTGTTGCTTCTCCGAACAGATATTTCACAGAAAACAGTCACTGGGTGCCCCTGGCTTAAGGTGGTGTCAGGAATGTTTTGACTCACTAAAGAAAGGTATGACAGTAGAAGACTAACCTCCATCTTTAGCATTGTCATCCTTAAAGAGTTCTTGTGTTCCAAATTTGAGAATATCATTGAGCTCACTCTTAGACATGACAGCAGTTTTGCTGGATCCCAAGCCGGGTCTAACCACAAGATGAGTCAACATCATCTTCTTCTTGGCAACCTTTCAAGCGAAGATCAAGGTCATCAAAGCTTAAGGAGGCATATTATACATCTACACAAAAATGGCGCTTCTAAAGAATTTGTATGTTTCACACTGATTGGGGAAGTAAATTGGTCGAGACTGAGGTCTCTCAATAAACAAAAATCAAATAATTACAATTTTCCAGATATTTTGAATCATATTATGTTAACACAAAATTTTCAGAACTGGGATGCAACTATACACAAAAGTAGCTATTCTTCAATGTTTTGTTTCCACATAGCACTGTAGTTTGATAAGGTTTCTTTAATAGAGTCAACAGTAAAATAGACAATTGGGCTCGGGTGAACAAAGCAATATTGGATTGAATTTTCATTCACTGCAACCTTTTCCTTGATTTGGGAGGAATTTCTCATGTTTTTCCAATTTGGGTTATTCCAACCACAACGTTAATTCCTTTAAAAACCTAAAACATGCCAATGATGCTTATTAACATTCATTTTGCCCGATATTTTTTTATAGTTAATCAGAAGCTGTGACACAATTATCAGCATCATCAGAGACTGCACTTCCCTGCTAGCAGAGGTCTCTCACGACACCCCTGCTAGCAGGTAAAGACTGTACCAACACACCTCCAATTTAAAACCACCAAGGAGGGAGCCATAAACGTGTCCCATTAATGTGAAGTATGAATCCAAACATTTATTGTTTAGACTATGTTTGCAATAGCAGGAACTGACTATACTTTGTTTAGTCGCTTAAAATAAATATTTTCCCTTACACTTGTTATAATGTACAGCACTATGTACCTGTGTGATCCGCTGTTCTACACTGGCCCTTGTAACAAAGCGATAGATCATAACCTAACAAGAAGACGGAGACTCATAATGTAATTTTGATATTCTACATGTATTGAAAAGTAATGTTTAAACTGACGCTCCCTGAGGGGGACATAAGAAGTCTGAAGACAATGACGCCTCTCTCAAGTGCACTGGAGGGTGAATTAAAGAGAGTCTCTGAATACAGGGCTAAACTGTACAGAACAATATGAATGAATTGGACGAAATGAAATGAATGGATGAAAGAATGAATGAATGCATGAAATGAATGTTGAGTTACGGACGAGAGAACATCAGACGTGTTTTTCTTACTGTACATTATATATGAACAGACAAGCCAAGGTCTAAAATCAAAGATTGTTTGATGGTCTGGCCTGGGTTGAACCCATGACCTCCTGCTTGGAGGACTGGGGCCCATTTCTCGAAAGCCTAGACTGTTCACAGTCATATATTTTTCCGTAAGATCATCGAGATCGAGCGCTTTGCGTTACGGGCTGCCATCTTGCACGAGTGTCAAAACTACTTAGGGGGCGGGGGCGGTTTGGGAGGAGGCTATTTTTCTCTCCCCCCCCCCCCCCCCCCCCCCCCACCCCACCCCCCCCCCCCCCCCCCCCCCCCAGTGTCAAAAACAAAGTTTTTTTTGGGGTGCGGCCTGGGGTGAACCCCGCCCCCCCCCTTTGTGGGGGGGGGGCCCCTTTCCCCAAAACCAAAATGTTCTCCAACTATTTTTTTTTCCCGAAAAATCCGGGGGCGAGGGGCTTTTGGGGTGGGGGGCCCCCTTTCGCGGGTGGGAAAAACCACTTTGGGGGGGGGGGGGGTTTGGGGGGGGGCTTTTTTTTCCCCCCCCCCCCCCCCCCCCACCCCCAAAGCTATAATCCCCGACGCCGCCCCCTTGGTACATTTGAAAATCAAGATAGCCGTGACGGTAAGACGCGGTATACCTAAACCATCTCACGAAAAAAAAGGGGACTGTGAACAGTCTATCGAAAGTCCCACTAACTTTCCAGGCTCGAAATCAAATATTCCAATCAAACTATCAGAATAAAATCACGCAAGCCCTAGCCAACAAACCCGTCCAATATATTTTCTCAACTGCTAATTTTATTATGTTACCTGCAAAAGTACTGAAACCTCTATCTTGAATGTAAACAACAACAGCTTTCGGGGCCCCGTAACTATCGGGACTTTCGAGAAACAGGCCCCAGGTCCTTATGCAACTGAACTAACCAGGATAAATGAAGACTTTATAAAATAAAACAATACACAAGGCACTGAAGAGCACCACTTTGTTAATTAAATACCTTATTGTTTTGACCAATTCTATGAGCCCTGCTGAACGCCTGTGAAGAAAGACAAGAAGGGAAGAAAAGCAACACACATATACAACATCTTATTAGGTTGGTGGATAAAAAATCTTGTAATTTCTTTTTCTACTCCATGGTAAAGCAGGTCACAGCTTTGTAACTGTTAACATGAAACCCAAGTATGAGGAGGTCTACTAACATGCCAAATTTTCTGAACCATTGGATTGGCCAAAATACAATTTTTCATGTTGATGTCATTATTTATGTACATTGTATACGTGGATGCCATTGTGGGGATTCCAGTCTGAGTCATATATAAACACAGTGTCAGCTGTGGCTTAATTGATGCCCAGACCTCCAGCACGAGTAGAAAGCAAGAAACAAAACGTCTGTGCACCAGCAGCTTCAAGCAAACAAACAGGAAAAGAAAAGGCAAGAAAAATAGAGCTCTGATTAGCATCAAAAACAATATTAATAAAACATTTCAATAACTGTAATGCAGGGCTGTCAGTAAGATTTCAAGTTTCAAGGAGTATTCAATTAGTAGGTAGTAATTGAACAGCTAAGAGGTTCTATTGGTTTTTGTTTTCATTTTGCTAACCTATAAAAAGTAGCTGGGGATTCATGTTCCTTTTACAGGGTTCATACAAAGTCAGGATTCATACATGGTCAGGATTTAAATGAAAGGAGGATAATTTCAATTTTTTATATTATTTATTTAAGCTTATTTATCAGGTAACCACCACGAAAAGTTATAAATTTGCCCACCACTAGAAGCTTAGTTTTAGAAAAACAGGAGCACTACACACAATACACTCACACAGTCTGAGGTAACAGCCTGTCATTGATTTGCACCATCTTATACCCTAGTTCTGGTGTTTTGGTCAGAGGACAGTCAACAACAACAACAACAACAACAACATCTTTATTTCTTACATTAAATATACAAATATCACACCACCTGCAAATAGCAAGGCTAATCGAGGCAGGTGGTGTGTAGACGGCTTAAGATTTATTACGAATAGTTGAAGTGAAAAAGTACCATATTTATAATAAAAAAGGTCAGTCACTATCATTGCTTTTTTTCAGTGATTTCATTTGGTCAGACTGACCACCTTTTGCCATTTTGGCCAAATTTTCACAGAGCTACAAAAGTTGCGTCCGCACTGTACGCACACATGCGCACACCTTGTAATCAGAAGAAAAGCAGAAAAGCACATATTCAACAGTAAATATTTCTTTTGTGAAAATCCAGTTTTAACGGTAGCAGTATGAACTATAGCTTAAGATTAAGGTTAACAAGTTTTGAAGATCACCCTAGCTACTTAATAATATAAAATATCCCAATTAAAATTACTGAAATGCTGTTTCCTCCTGCATCACATGTACTTACCATTATTATCAATACATTCCTGCCTAGCTGCTCCATTGACAGTTCCATCAATTCTTTCATATTTGTAACCGTGCCCCTCAAGCAAGGAAGTCTTCTAAGATATCCAGCATTCTCGTCATCTAGTTTGGCCAAAAGCAAACAAGGAGGGGCATTAGTATGTACAATAATTATTATTGCCAATCATTCTACAAATGCGCATTGGATATGAGATGGTAAAAAGCCAATGAGGCGCATAACACTAAGTTGGCTATAATCATCTCATATCCAACAAGCGTGAGTGAAATAATTATTGTTTTATTAAAAGCGCCCACAAAATATCGAGAATTCCGTCTGACTTTATTTGTAAAAACAACCAATTTTCAACTTGTTTTTAATTTTGAACAGATGTGTACAGTTAACACAGGGGACATAGGCGACATAAGTCCTGATGTCATGGTCTATCTGACTTGTGCCGTCATCGGTCTGGGTGGGCGAGGTGTGATCAAAGCATGGACTGAAGTGGCTGCAAGAGTGCGCCTTAATTTACATGCTGACGTCCGATCTCACCTCTCTGGTTCCTCTGCAATTCAGCCATTGGCTGCAAGTGAGGCAAGTTGACACCACATATATATGATGGCTATGCCAATCAGAGCTCTAGAATTGCATTATCCAACGATTCAGTTTTTAATAATACTTATTACTATAGCTTAGTTTGAAAGAGTAATAGCGTGAAGAATAGAGAAGGCATGATAACATTCATGTTTTTTTTTTTTCATTGGAGTGGGAGAGTGGACAAGGACTTTGAATTGCACTGTAATATTTTTCACTCACTAAAGGTATTAAAGATTTTTGCAAAGGCCAACAGGGTGATTTCAGGAGAAGGGCAGAACAACGTATTAAATGAATATTCAACTGTGCACTGCTATGTTAGTAATATGTGGAGCATACACATCAACTATAAGCAGTTGAATCACAAATCACGGTGTAGTTCATGTTATAATTACCTGTGAAAAAATGAGAACTCTGTGTCCTTTCTCTCGTAATTTTTTCAACATTTTCTTCAGCAGGACCAGCTTTCCATACGAGTAAGAGCTGCTGTGTCATAGTTACCATTAGCAGTTCTAGGAGCCTCCTAAGGGCCATACAAATGACATAATGGAGGAATTATTATATTTATGGCAAACAGAAAAAGTCTGATTCTAGCCATCCATTTCTCAAATTAGGAACAAAAAGGTAGAAGATGTGTAAAATAATTTCTTCACGTAAACTGGGGCTAAAACGTCTTATTTTTTTCATTTACCTATATAAAATGAACAAAAAACAAAAAGCGAAGTGAAGACTTGGTAAGATAGTAAAAACAAATGCTTGCTGCTTTCTGTACACGTATTTCAAAAGTTATTTATTACTTTGACAGGATCCCATCCAGGGCAACCCATCACTAAATGGTATTTAAGGATAAGATCTGTTAATAGTTCAGGCTGTTGTGAGTGATTTCCCAAAAGGAAATGCACTGGTTGGCTGTGGAGGCGTAGTTCAATCAGCAGTCAAGTGCAAAATGAAGAATTTTGAGTTCATTTCACAGACAACAAATTAATAAAAGTGTAGTCACTGGTATATCATGAAAAAAAAAGTTTCTAACCTTTGAACTTTCAAAACGGGTCAACAAAACTAGTTTGAAAGAATAATGTTTACACAAGTCAGAGATATCAAACTGACATAATTACCAGGGCTGCAGAAGAGAACAAGTATGGATGGTTGCAACATTTCTTCAGCTCCATCATCACATTTAACAAAGACACTTGATGAGATCCTTTGGTGTTCAGAGCCTCAAAATTTCTTGTTAAAATGTATTTGTAGTATTTCCTGTAAAACAAACCACAAAAAACATTC